CTTTCTTTCTTTCTTTTTTTTTTTTTTTTGGTCGGTCAGTCATGGGGCTTGAACTCTGGGCCTGGGCGCTGTCCCTCAGCTCTTCAGTTCAAGGTGAGCGCTCTACCACTTGAGCCACAGCTCCCCTTCCAGTTTTCTGAGTGGTTTATTGGAGATAAAAGTCTCATGGACTTTTCTGCCTGGGCTGGCTTTGAACCAAGATCTTCAGATCTCAGCCTCCTGAGTAGCTAGGATTACAGGTGTGAGCCACCAGCCCGGCAGCTTGAAGCATTTCTATCTCTTCTCCCCTCCCCTCCTTTCCTCTCCTCTCCTCTCCCTTCTCAGCAGTTTTTTTTCTGGTTTTATTTAAGCCCAAATAAAATGTACATGAATCATCTATTTGTTCTCTTTGTTGTGCAGTCTGGCTTTAGGATCAGTAAGTCTGAGGGCCCGCTGGGCTACGCCTTCCACAATGGCTTGAAGGAAACATCTAGAGTGATCTCAACACAATAAGTTTTTGTGGTGCTGGTGTGTGAGGGTTCATACCTGCAGTTCCAACACTTAGGAGGCTGAGGCAGGAGGATTACAAGTTTAAAGCTAGCCTTTGAGACTTTGTTTCACAGAGAGAGAAAAGATGAGACTGTTGGCTGTTATCCACATTTTTAGCTCCTTGGTGCTGTGGACCAGGAAGCTACTTTGTTTTCTTGTTGCTCCCATTACCAGTGCTGGGCAACAAGATCTGGCCCCTGAATCTCCTCCATACCCTATTTCCTATTCTTATACTGAATTCTGGCATAGGTATCAGTCTCAGGATGAACTTCCTGGTTCGCGTTGTGAAGATCCTGGGCTTCATAGAAGGTTTGAGGCAGCCATGATGCTGGAGATGTTGGCCTCTGGTATAGGTAACACCAAAGTAGTCCCCAAATTTCAGGCCTTACATTGAGGCATTTAATCCATCTTATTTATTTCTTTATTTAAATAAATAAATCACTTACATTGGGTTTGAATCCAGTGCTTTGTGTTTACTAGGTAGGAACTCTACACTTGGGCCATGCCCACAGACCTTCTTTGCTTTAGTTATTTCTTGAATAAGAACTCATGTTTATGTGTGGGCCAGCCTGGATCATGATCCTCCTATTTACACTTTCTAAATTGCTGAGATGATAGGTGTGTGCCACCACATTGTGCTATTGGTTTAGATGGAATCTTTGTCAACTTCTTAGCCTGATCTCCTTCCTCCTGAGTAGATAGGACTGCACGTATAAGCTGCTGTATCTGGTTTAAGTTGATTTTTATAGGGGGTAAGGGATAAGAATCTAGTTTCACTTAATCTAGGTTCATTCTGCTACAGGTAGATTTCCCATTTTCCCAGCACCAATGTGTCTTTTCTCCAATGTTTGTTTCCTCTTACCCTTTGCAACAATCGGTTGGCTGAAGATGCCCAGTATTTATTTCTGGGTTCTCTGTTCTGGGCCATGGGTCCATGTGCCTTCTTTTGTATCAGTACCAGACTGATCATTGTGGCTTTATAGTGTGACTTGAACTCAGTACTTGTGATGCCTCCATTAATTTTTTTTTTAAAGTTCAGGAAGACTTTAGCTATTTGTACAAAGGCTCCATTTCCAAACACCTTAGCCAGATTAAGTTTTCACCTTCTTACTACATCAGAATGAGGCTCAATTTCCACAAAGGAACCCTTGAGGGAGACATTGAAACCAAATCCAAACTATAGCGTTCCTTCTCCCTGCCTTTGTCCCTAGTGAGTTTGTCCCTTATGACTTATGTGAAGATGATAATGGAACGAAGTGGAGAAGATGCTCCAGGTCCTGGCTTGGGGAGAGGACCTCCATCTTTGCCTCCTCCAAATGGTGAGACTCAATGGTAGAGACTCAATGAAAGGGACGATGGTAGATAAACCGATTATGAGGCCTCTCTCTCTGGGCCCACGAGCGGCTGTGCATGGTGGAATGTAAGGATTGTGCAGAGTCCAGTCTGGATCCCATTCTCCCTTCTGTAGCCCTAGCAGAGCTGACAGATGACAACTTCTGTGCTTAGAATGGTTTCAATCTCTTCTCCTTCTTTTTCTTTCCTCCTCCCTCCTCTTCCTCTTCCTCCTCGTCCACATCTACCTCCTTGTCCATGACCTCCTCCTCCTCCTTCTCTTCATCCTCCTCGTTCTCTTCCTCCTCCTCCTCCCTCTTTTTTGGTAGAACTGGGATTTGAACTCAAGTCCTTGTGCTTGCCAGACAGGCACTTCAGTCCATCCATGACTTTCTAAACCCAGTGTTTCAAGCAGTCACTTCCCATTGGCTGGGGTTGGTGACAGAGATGAAACAAACCCATCAACCACTCTCCAGGACTGCTGAGGCAGATTACAAAATGATGGAGCCGGGATTTCTCTATGTCAAAAAGAGCAAATGCGAGCTGTCCTTTAGAATGGTTGGAAGGCTCGAAGATAATGTACATAAGCACAGCAGAGTCCGGGGTGCTTGGTACTAAGTAGATGCGTAGGAATGCTGAGTGGTGGTTACGGCGAGGCTGCTGCTGGTGAGAGGAAGGCAGGGTGCTGGCCTCTGCCTGTGAAGGCTCTTGGCGATGGGGAAGGAAAGGTGCAACTGGCCCTGGTGCAACCCCTGGGTTGTCTGTCTGCATTTTGTGACACTGCAAACACAGTGTGTTCTGTTGTGAACAGTGCAAACAGCTCTCTCCAGAAATACAGCTTAGAGAGAGGACTCACTCTCAGGTGATCTTCTGGCCCAGTAACTTAGAAAGATCATGCCAGGTAAACAGTCGGGGCCCACAGTGCTAGACACAGGTTGAAGGGCTGAAGAAAGTTCTTTTTATCCCAAGTCTAGGTCCATTGTCTGTAACACTCATAAAGTAATCGTGCTGCAAATGGGCTGGTGTGTGTTGATGAATCCATTGGGCATTGTTATGCTTTGAAAAATCAAACCTCTAATGAAAAGTGTATTTCCATAAAGATCATGCTTTTTTTTTTTGCAGAAAATGGAGATGCTTTAACTTCTTTCTTTGGTTTCATTAGTTATTTAATATGTGTCTTAAATGTCTCTGGCTATGTCATGATTTGCTGTGATGTGTAAACTCCTAAGGGCGAAGATGATGTCTGCTTCATTTACTTTCTAGAACGCCCAGAAAAATGCCATGACAAGTAGGCTTTAATCCATTTGCATGCTATTATTGTAAATTGGAATATCAATTGTGTCCTGTACAAATTATTATTTTGTTCTTATTTTAACCTTTTAAGCCCAGAAATCTAATGAAATACTTTTATAAGAGCAGCATTGAATGCTGCATAAATATTGCTTTCTTTTCATTAAAAATATTCATGTTAACTGGCTTTCTATAATAAAAATCAGGCCAATGTGAGAAATGGTGAAAATCATATAGAAAAAGAAAAGTAGAAAAGTCATGTTCCGTTTCCATACACGAGATAATAATTTTGAATATCTTGGCATTTTTCCCTATATGATTCCTTTAAAGAAACTAACAGTACTGCTTAACTAATTTGAAGACTGTCAACAAGTCTTCTTGTTATAATAATATTCGTCTTTCAGTGAGGGATCCCATGTTCTTTCCAGTAATCATCATTGTTTGGCTATTTTTCAACATCTTGGATGTGTGGTGAAGTCAAGAAATGAGTTGGTCATGAGCTACTAGTGACTTAGTCCTGTTTAAAGGAAACGTGTGGTTACCACGAAGGAAAATTTAATCCATCTTGCCCCAGTGCATTTGTTCTCTGAGAACCAGGTGAGTTACCTTTGAGGGTTTTCCTGGGATTATGTCACCCTCTGGGGCAACTTGCTGTTTCAGTAGTTGATGTTAAGAAACAAAACACCACCCTTCAAGTGAATCAGTTTTTGGAAAATAGAGACTGGCTTTATATTCCACAGCTTTGATGTGTTTAGTAGTTCCTGTAAGAATCTGCCTCTTTGGTTTTGATTGACAAGACCTTCCCTATATATTTGAGTAAGCAAGCAGTCCAGTACCAGGGTACATTTACCCAGAGCAAACTTCTGCCCCTCTTTGGGACTTCTAAAACCTCAGGCACAAGTTTCAGCTCTACAAGAAGCGTTGGCTCCAGCAAGATCAGGTAAGTAGCTCTCAGTTTTTCTAAGTTCATTCTTCCTAAGAAGAAGCCCATAGAAGCTTCTTCCATAGAAGAAGCACCTATGATTTGGAGATGCAGCCCATCTCTTGTGATCACCAGCCAGGGTAGCCCATAGATGCAATGTCCCCTTCACTTACACATCCAGCTGTGTTCTCTCTAGTGAACCAACCATAAAAGGCATTCCAGTCATGAGAGCGTAGCAAATGGCTGAGACCCAGAGATGACTGTAGATTTGGATTAGGTTGGAAATGTGTTCATTGTTTCCCACCGTTTGCTTTTAAATGGAATGACAGGGCTCATTACAAGTGGAAAGTGGAGATAGTTTGTGGTGAGTAAATGGCCATGAACTCGGTTCTATGTCTTGGTTCTGTGGTTCATTGGATTCGTAACAGTTTATATAGGCAGACCATTATTCTGGATCCCCTCTTCATTCAGGCCTCATCCCTGACACTGAAAATATAATCTTGAGCAAAGCTTATAGCATGGCATTCAAATATCCTGGAGCTGAATTAAAACAATATATATGTACTCACATACTATGTTGGGCTATGCATTACTTGTGAACTTCTATTTTGTGTTCATTTTAAAGAGCCCGTTGGGATAAATTTCTTCAATGTCCACATCAACTCCAGCAATTGGGTTATAATAGGAAATCCTTGAGCGTGTATTGCTAGGGTTAGGTTCTAAAATACTTCCTATATCTCTTAGTAGAACCTGCTACTGAGGCTCTGGGCATCCTGTGCCGGACTCTGTGGGCACTTCTGACTTCCTACCTCATTTCTTCTCTTGTGCCAAGAGCAAGGTCTCTTTGACAGCCACCAGCACATTGTTGGCTGTCCCCCTGTGGGCAGCTGGGTTTGTTAAACTCTACCTTTGCATCTCTTGGAACAGCATGAAGCTCACCTGCCTTGTCCTTGGCTCCGGGGCCCTCCTCGTCCTGTGTGTCTGTGGCTCTGTCCTCAGCACCTCCAGCGAGAACCTGCGCACCTTTGTGGGCTGTGCTGTGAGGGAATTTACTTTCCTCGCCAGGAAGCCGGGTTGCAGGGGACTTCGGATCACCACCGATGCCTGCTGGGGCCGCTGCAAGACCTGGGAGGTAAGTAGCAAGGCCACTAATTCAGCATTTTCCAAAAGTGATGGGAAAGATACGAAGTTGTCCCCGTAGGAAAGCATTGATAAGATGCACATCTTGATTCCCATGGTATCTGTGCATTTGGGAGACATCTCCAGGAGGTCAAAATGGGCTCTTATTCCACACATTTCACAGATAGTAAGGGGGCCTAGTTGGGCACTGGTGGCTCACCCCTGGAATCCTAGCTACTCAGGTGGCTGAGCTCAGAGGATTGTGGTTCAAAGCCAGCCTGGGCAAGGAAAGTCCGGGAGACCCTTATCTCCAATTAACCACCAGAAAATCAGAAGGGATGCTATGGCTCAAAGTAGTAAAATGCTAGCCTTGAGCTGAAGAGCTGAAGGATGGTGCCTAGGCTCAGAGTTCAAGTCCCACAACTGACCAAAGAAAAGAGGGGGAGGTGCTCTGACCACAAAGTCTCATAGAGACAATGTCCAAGCCATTGACCTGGTCTCTTCCCTATAGCCTGCATTTGTGGTAAAGAACTCCTAAGCTGCTTGGTGAGTGAGGGGTGGTCCCAGGCCCTTCCTCAGTTGCTCACCCCAGCCCTGTTCTCCGCAGGGATGATCAGACCGAATAAGTCCCTTTATATATAATTATACCTGGCCTTTCATTTAAAATGGGAATAAAGGGCTGGGAATGTGGCTTAGTGGTACAGTGTTTTCCTCACATGCATGAAGCCCTGGGTTCAATTCCTTAGTACCACATAATCAGAAAGTGGTGCTGTGGCTCAAGTGGTAGAGTGTTAGCCTCGAGCAAAAGCTCAAGGATAGTGCCCAGGCCCACAGTTCAAGCCCCAGGATGGAAAAAATAAAGTAAAATAAAACAAAATGGGAATCAAAATCTGAAAGTCAGAATCTTATTAGACTGAGATGAGGAGTTGGTTGAAGAATGAAGAGGAAACCATCTGATCACAACACAAGGTGAGTTGCTGACTCCCTTAGCCCAGGCCCAGCTCTGATCTTGTCACTGCCCAGGTTCTAGGCCTTCCGTGACCAGCCATCAATACTGAATTTCAATGTCCTTGGCAATCTGGCTTTCCCATGTTTATCTTTTAAACTTTGGCCTTTTCAGGCTAACTTTTATTTATTTATTTATTTTTATTTTTTGGTCCGGTCATGGGCCTGAACTCTGGGCCTGGGCACTGTCCCTCAGCTCTTCAGCTCAAGGCTAGCAGTCTACCACTTGAGCCACAGCGCTGCTTCCGGCTTTTTTTTTTTTCCTGCTTATGTGGTACTGAGGAATCAAACCCAGGGCCTCATGCATGCAAAGCAAGCGCTCTACCACTGAGCCAACTTCCCAGCCCATCAGGCTAACTTTTTTGTTTGTTTGTTTTTTTGGGTCCGGTCATGGGGCCTGAACTCTGGGCCTGGGCACTGTCCCTCAGCTCTTCAGCTCAAGGCTAGCGCTCTACCACTTGAGCCACAGCGCCACTTCCGGCTTTTTTCTTTTTGCTTATGTGGTGCTGAGGAATTGAACCCAGGGCCTCTGGCATGCAAGGCATGCGCTCTACCACTGAGCCACCTTCCCAGCCCCCAGGCTAACTTTGAAAAGCTTTATAAAACTCCTTTTAGTCCTTTCCCCACATTCCTTGTCATCCAGCTGTCATTTCTTTCACAATCATATTTGTTCCCCATTGCTCCTTCCCCACGCCAGCTCCTTCTCTAAGCTGGCTGGCTTCCTGGCCAGTGCTTGGCTTTCTGTTTTGCATCATCCCCCACCAAACACAGGGTTTTACATTTTGTGGGAGAACTGATCAGGGTCTCTGGTTGGACCATGGAAGCATGGGGACCATGAAAGACTGGATTCTCCTTAATCTGAGCAGCTAGTATGGGGCCTTTGCTGTACAGGAAAAGGGAGGTTAGCTACGGAAATAAGTACAAGGAGGAAATCCATCTTCCCAGAGTTCCTGACATAAAGAACACTTTTTCTTGGCAGCTTCATCAGGGGGAATGTCTGAGAATCAGGATGTTCATGGTGATAGAGGAGCTGGAGTTACTTTTTTGAAGGTAGACCTACTGCTGAAAATTGTGATAGCTCAATTACCTGAATTTATTGTGGCCAGATATAACAAAAACAACAGAACAGCCCCTTCCAACCTCCAAAGCAACCAAATAAAAAAATGAAAGGAAGAAAAAAACACCAATTCTCCTGCTAAAGCCAAAGTGAAGTTAATAAAAAGAAGAAAAACCCAGAAAGCCCATGTAAATTCAAATATACAACAATTTTTTTAGCATAAGTCTAGAATAATGTATATGAGACAGATTAATTATCTGAAATACAAATTTAACTAATGTCTGGTCTGCCTGAGGCCTTTGATAAGAAGACACAAAATAGGGGTGGGAGAAAATGGCTGAGGACAAATTCAGCTTTTCTGTGTGATCATAGGAGCTTGGCATTTCTAGAACACTCAGGCAAGGATTCCACCTCCAACCTTGCCTTGCTTATCATCTACTGTCTATCTGTCTGTCTGTCTGTCTATCTATCTATCTCTCTATCTATCATCTATCTACTTTGTGTCTATGTATCTACCTACTTAGGTATGTATCTATGCATATATTATCTATCTTCTGCCATATATATATGTATCTGTGTATTAATCTATGTATGTATGTATCTATTATGTATGGATACATGAATCTATGTATTATCTATGTATTTCCCTGTTACCTATTGTCCTACGGGAGTGTGTGTGTGTGTGCATGCACATGGATCCTGGGCATTGTCCTCAAGTTTTTATGCTCAAGTCTGGTGTTCTACCACTTGAGCCACAACTCCACTTTCAGCTATTTTGGTGCTTTATTAAAGATAAGACTGTCATGGAGTTTCTTGCCTAGGCTAGGTTCCATCTCAAATCTCAGCCTCCTGAGTAGCTAGGATTATAGGCATGATCGACCTGCACCCAACTTCATATTTACCTTTTTTGTGTGTGTGGTGGTGGTTGTTGTTCAGGACAGGCAAAGGCATTGTCCTTTGTAACACAGTTACCTTCTATTACTTCCTTATAATTGCTCTCATGCGAGCAATGGATTTCATTTATGGAGCACTTACCTTGCACACATCCTCGTAACTGCCGCCACAATGGATGAGGCTGGTGTTTTGTGGAGGCTTCCTGGATGTCAGTGATTTTCATAGGTTTCCAGGGAGAGGCTGCCTAGCTCAGCAGGTCTAACTTCAGGTCTTGAGGCTTTCCAGTGGCTTGCACTGCTTTTTCTCTGATTTCTGGGCTCTGTCCATCAGAATTACCTTTGAATTCACAGTCCATCGAAGGCAAAGGAGGAGAGTGAGTGCTTAGCCTATCAGAAGAGTGCACAGGCCTGGCACTGGTGGCTCACACCAGGAGGCTGAGATCTGAGGATTGCAGTTCGAAGGCAGCCCGGGCAAGAAAGTCTGTGAGACTCTTGTTTCCAGTTAACCACCAAAAAATTGAAAGTTGCTGGGTACTGGTGGCTCACGCCTGTAATCCTAGCTACTCAGGAGGCTGAGATCTGAGGATTATTGTGCAAAGGCAGCTGGGGCAGGAAAGTCTGTGAGAGTCTTATCTCCAATGAACCACCAGAAAACCAGAAGTGGCACTGTGGCTCAAGTGGTAGAGTGCTAGTCTTGAGTGAAAAAGATTAAGGACAGCACCCAGGCCCTGAGTTCAAGCCCCAGGACTGGCAAAAACAAAAGAAAACAAAAACAAGACAAAAGATGTGCACAGAGCATCCAGCAATCTGCCAGCTCTGCAGTCTTCCATTGGTATAACCACAAATAGTTACCGAGACCCTTCTGGGTGCTGATCTAGGTACTGAAGCATGGCAGTGGGCAAATGGATGAGCATCCTTGTCCTGCTGAAGCTCTCTCACTCCAGTGGCAGAAAGGTCTCACAATAGAATAACAGTGTGTAAGATGCCACGTGGTGTGGAGAAGCGCAAGGCAGGAAGGGGTGCATTAGTACCATGGCGTGGATGTGGGGATGCCACCCGTGATAAATAGGATCATCAGGAGCTGCCAATGGGTGGCCCCTGAAGCAAAGCAGAAAGGTGGTGAAGGAAGGCATTAGAGCGGAGGGACCAGCATTGGGGCAGAGCCTGGGTAGTTTGGGAGATGAGTTATTGTGCTGTGGACATTTGGGAGGTCAGCCTGCAGGGAAGGGGTTATGGAGGCTGGCAGGGAATCACAGGGCTCTCTGCTTTCCTGAGTGAGATGAGAAGTCACTAGGGCTGTGAGACGAGCTGGGCATGATCCGCCTTGTGTTTTGAAAGGCTTATTCAGGCGGCTGGACTGCCAACAGCCGATAGGAGGTAGCCTCCTCAACAGTGACAAGCCATTTGCCATGATCTGCATGACTCCTTTGCTCCACGTTGACTGAGTGCGCTTCCTGTGTGCAGGGGCCTCTGCGGGAGCTCATGTGGGAGCCGATCAAACCAGCTTCCTGGCTTCAGGAGTTTGTTTTCTCCTGGGAGGAGACAGAGCCATAAGCAAACAAATAGAGCCTGAGTTAATTTCCCAGAGTGCTAAATGGTTTCAAGAAAATGAATATGGGGGATGGTGAGCTCTAATAGTTCCTTGTTTTCTACTGGTGGGGACAGAAACCCATCCTGCAGCCCCCCTACATTGAAGCGCATCATCGAGTCTGCACCTACAAGGAGACCAGACAGGTGACTGTGCAGCTGCCTCACTGTACCCCTGGAGTGAACCCTTTCTACACCTACCCCGCGGCTGTCCGCTGTGAATGTGGGGGCTGCTCCACGGCCACCACCGAATGCGAGACCATGTGAGGCCCAAGTCACAGGCCTGCAGAAAGCAGCAGGTGGCTCTCCTGACGCTGGCGCTGCCCTTCTGCCCTCTGGAGTTGAGAACTGTTTAACCCTGACCATCCCTACAGGGGAGATTACGTGTAGCCCTGCAGTCTACCTTAAGCACAAGGCCCCGGTGCAGAAAATGTATGCTACTCAGTATGTATGCCTTCACCAAAATTACTTCTCTGCTTCAGTTTGTGTCTTTTAATTCTCCCTCAATTTGGAGAGGCAATAGCCATTGGATCCAATGTGTTGGATAAAATAAGGTAGTACGATTGCAAAGTGTAAGTTCTCCGTAAGTTCACTGCTCTCCAGTGGGATTCAGGACCAAGAGGCAGAAATGATCAAAACCAGTATACTCGTCTTCCTTATTCCAAAGGAAATCCAGTTGCAAGTTTCCTTCCAGGAAGTGCCTCACTGCCACTTGAACTGAGCAGTTACCTACACAATAAACAAACCTCTCAGATCCCTATGGAAAGGGGGTCGGTAAAAAGAATAGCTCAAAGTAACAGGTGTTTGGATTTGATTCATTCTTCTTCGAAGCAAAATTCTCTGCATGCCCTTAAAGACCTTCCTAAATAGGCCACTGGGTGAATAATTATAATCAATAATAATGATAATGTTAAAAAAACTCAGAAAAAAATACAACTAGAAGTTGCAATTGAGATTTTTAAACCTCTGAAATTATACTCATGTTTTTAGACTGTGACATTCTCCCCAAACTGTGGCAAATGGTAAATTACAAATATTCTTCTCTCTTTAGTGTGTTTCAAGTTTCAGTGGCAATTTATTAAGCCCAGAAACCTTACATGCTTGTATGGGGAAGCTGCAGTGCTGATCAAGAGGAAATGTATCTGTGATCATCCAGCTTTTGCTAAAGTCTTGCAAAAGCTGTTGTGACCTTTATTGTAAACTCTGATTTTATGCAAATGTCTTTTAATTCTGGCCTTTTGGAAGATGAATTAACCTTGTTCATTTTTTTGCATTATGCCAAGAAAATCTGTATTACTGACAATAAAATATGCTCTCTGCTTTTTGAATGTATGCAAACTTTTATGTGTCTTTTCATTTATTTAATATTTATTGCTGGTACTGGGGCTTGCACTCAGGCCCTTGAGAATGCTCAAGGATGGCATTCTACTACTTGAGCCATGGCTTCATTTCCAGCTTTTTGGGTCTCACAGACTTTCCTGCGTGGGCTTGCTTTGTACTGTGATCCTCAGATCTCAGCCTTCTGAGTAACTAGGATTATAGGCATGAACCACCAGTAGTGGGCTCAGAAAGTTTTTTTATTTTTAGTCTTTAATACACTTGGTATAGATAGCAGTATGAACACTTCAACCCCAAGGTTATTTTTTTGCCCGAGTATGAATTAGAGATTTCATATTTGATAAGGGACACAGACAGGTGACTCTGGGGAGAAGAGCAAGGTGGTACAGTCTGCAACCCTGGCACATCTCAGCTAGGAGACTTGAGCCATGCCAAGAGTCCCTAGGAAAAGGGCTGATGCGCCAGCACTGGGATGGGGTTGGACTTCTGGGAACAACAGGAGAAGATGCACGCAAAATCCACTCCAACCCAGAGCAGGTCTGCTGGCGGGAAGGAAGTCACTCTGACACAGAAAGGAATGGAGTGCTGGGGGAGGGGGTCTCTGCCAGGGCAGTGGAGATCTGGGCTGATGCTGGATGCTGTCCTGGGGTTTCAAGCTGCCTCTCAGGATTTCCTGGAAGAACAAGGTTTGCCAGAAGTAGAGGTGCATCAGGAAAGGTCCTGGGAAGAAATGGCTAACATTTCCAGCTGTGTGGGTAAATAAAGTTAAGGAAACACAGGGCAGGTTGAACACATCCAGTTTGGAAGTAGTGGTTTTGCTCCAGATGGGGGGAGGCAGGAGAGAGCCGGTCTCACAGGCCAAAGAGAACTTCTGCCCGACACAGCAGTGGCCTTTGGAAGGAGGTCCCAGTTATTACCTAGCTGAGTCTTGGGAGGCAGGGGAAGGCGACCCTCCTTCCACTCCTGGTCTTCGATGGAAACAAGTGAGAATCACATGAGAAGGTGGAAAGTGAGAGAACCCACAGGGTTGCTTTTTTTATTTTTTTGTCTGTCATTAAGTCATGGGGCTTGAACTCAGGACCTGAGTGCTGTCCCTGAGTGCGCTCTCTCTCTCTCCCCCACCACTTTTTGCTCAAGGCTAGTGCTCTACCATTTTGAGCCACAGTACCCCTTTCACATTTTCTGGTGGTTAAATGGAGATAAGAGTCTCAATGGATGTTTCTGCCAGGGTCGGCTTTGAACCTCGATCCTCAGACCTCAGCCTCCTGAGTAGCTAGGATTATAAGCATGAGCCACGGGTGCCTGGCTCATAGGGTTGCTCTTTAAAAGAGTAGGTTTCTGGTTAGGACAGGTCCATAGTGTATCTAAGGAGGACTGGATAAAATCCAGCCTAGCTAACTTTTGGGCAGTGCAGCTAACAATGAGCTCTTCCCATTCATTAATTTTAGTGTCATAAAATCATTTCAGAGTGAACAAGTAAAATCCGTATTTAACTGAAAACAATGTAGCACTGACAGAACAAATTGCATTTCATACAGTTTTCATGGGGTCTGCTTGTCTCCTTTCCAGAAACCTTTTCTTCAAAACAACTTGCTCCCTACCCTTTCTCCACATCTTCCGAAGCTGAAGCAAATGAGGAAGAAATACTTTTTCCAAAAATAAAGAAAATTTCAACTATTCTTTAGCAATAATTAGTCTCTGAGTTTTATTTCCTGTTGAAATTTTCTACTAGGAAAACAGTCTTCTGGATTACAAGAATTATGGTCCTCATTTGCATAACGAATCTTCTGGCACAGTCAATAATGGTCCTTCGGTCTAATGCGTAGAAGTGTGGACTGGGCAGCAGGAAGGTTTGTGGGCCTAGAGTGTCTGAAGGGGGCGCCAAAGTGCTCTGAGCAGGTGTTGCCTAATAGAGGAACAAGCAGTTAGGGAAAGCATGAGGAAGCAAGGGAGCAGGTGCAGAGCTCTGTAATTGGCAGTGTAAGACACAGCCTTCCCCCAAAGTGCAGGAACTCAGAGGATTAGTCTTGTCTCCTTTCCAGGTCCTCATTATCAGAAGTAAAGTAAACCTTTCCTAAGCTTGTTGGCTTTATAGTTGACCCTCAGTCTCTCTAGTTGGATGAATCTTTAGCATACTGCGTAACTGAATGTGAAAAAGAAAAGAATTCCTGACACAAAGATAAGGAGTATAATTTGACCTTGATGGTGAGCCACATGCTCCCGAAAGCGAAAAATATAAACTACCTCCACTGGGGGGAGGGGAACAAGACATTCCCCCAAACCACAACAACACAAACCCTCATTTCACCGAACTGTCAATATTATCAATATGAGAATGCTATTTTCAATTCTAGAGATTGAATTTGGGGTCTAAAATTTGCTAAGCAAGCACTCCAACACTTGAGCCATGACCCCAGTCATCTTTGCTTTTTGTTGTTGTTGTTAGTTTTTTGTTTTTTGTTTTTGCCTGTCCCTGGGGCAATTTGAACTCAGCGCCTGGGCACTGTCTCTGAGCCTCTTTGTGCTCAAGGCTAGCTATCTACCACTTCATCCAGAGGTCCTCTTCCAGCTTTTTCTGAGGAAAAGAGTCTCATGGACTTCCCTGCCGGGGCTGGCTTCAAATCGTGATCCTGAGATCTCAGCCTCTTGAGTAGCTAAGATTATAGATGTGAGCCTCGGGAGCCTGGCTTGCTCTTAAATTTTTATTTCATTTCTACTCTATTTTTTTATTTGCTTAAGGACTTACGTTAACTTTGTCTAAGCTGGCCTTGAACCAATGTCCTTCTGACCGCCTCCTGGTAGCTGGGATTACAGGTGTACATAGCTCACCCAGCTGAGAATAACTTTCTTTTAGTGATGTTGAAGATAGGAGGACTATAATCAGGGAATAAATGCAAAGATCCCCAAGTCACAAACACAACTTAAAATCATGTGAAAGGCCAGACATCTGTCATCCCAGCTATGTGAGAAGTGTAAATAGGAGGATCAAGGTCCAGGCCACCTGGACCAAAAACCCCCCAAAACGTGAGACTTGAAAAATAACTAATGAAAAAGCTCCAGGGTGGCTGCATGCCTCTAGTGATACAGTTCCTGCTGAGCAAGCATGAAGTCTTGGCATCAATTAGGAGTACCCCAAAACAAAACAAATAACCCCCCAACAAGGTGAACAAACTCACTTGAAAGAACATTTTATTCATGAAAAAGAAACTGTCTACATATAAGATAAAGGATATTGTCACATGACTAAGTCACTGGCAGAATTAGGCACTTGACATATACGCACAGATCCCGTTTATTTATTTATTTTTGGATTCACCATGCTGCTTCCTGAACCAGCCACAGTGTGGAACAGTGAGCCGTCCAGGTCAGCTGATGGAAGGAAGCCTGCAGGCTGTTTTGAAGCATGGGGGATTGTACTCAGTGTTTCACATCTGACAGGTGAGTGCTGTACCCCTCCCCTTGTCCCCAGCTCTTCTGGGCTGTTTTGAACCTCCAGCTTCCATTTCCTCTTGGAATCTACATATCACAATGAAAATAGTTGGAGTGTGGGGGGGGCACAGTTTTACTGATTCAGAATGTTTTGAGGAGGAAGGTTTTGTTCCGTGTTTGGGTGCTACTGGAGCAAGTTGAAGAAACCTTTGTGTAACATCTCCCCATTGACATGTTACACTCATTAATGATACACAAGGTCCAGCTGAGATTGGCCTGCAGTTTCAGCATGATCAGAATTGAGGCCAAGTTCAGGACAAAGTCAGAAGGAGTAATGTGTACCCTATGCTAGTCCTGACTCTCTCGGCGTTTTTCAGATGGGGACAAGAGGAGGCGAGTGAATGGGCTCTGACCTGCAGGTTTCTCTTCCTCAGCCTTTGATTGTAGCCATGAGCCCTCAATTAGTAGACACGTTTCTATTATTCAAATGAAGAGAAGCT